TGTTTACTACTGTCTATGTTAGGTGATTCCTTTCTATTGTTCTTGAAATTGTGGTCATTTTTATCTCTTTCTAGAATATCTTTTAGCACTCTTTGTAGGATTGGTTTGGCACTCATGAAGTTCTTCAGTTGTTCTTTGTTGTGGAAATATTTTATTTCTCCATTAAATTTAAAGGATAGTTTTGCAAGTTACCACACTCTGGGTTGGAAGTTGTTTTGTTTTAGGACTTGGAGTGTTTCACTCCAAGCTCTTCTTGATTTGATGGTTTGTGTTGAGAAATCTTCCATGATTCTGATGGGCTTTCCTTTATAGTGATCTCTTTCTTTTTTCTGACAGCTTTTAATATTATGTTCTTTTTGCTGAATTTCTGGGATGTTGATTATTATATGTCTGAGTGTAGATTTATTTTGATGATGGCTAATTGGAGTTCTATATGCCTTCCTTACTGTATATCCAATTCTTTTTCCATTCTTGGGAAATTTTCTGCCATTACTTCTGCAAATATTCTTTTTATGTCATTTGTGTTGCCTCATGCTATTTCATTGACACTCATTAGTCTTACTTTTTTTGCACATTTGTAGCCATTGAATTGTTATTTCCTGGTTCCTTGTTATTTTTAAGAGAACCTTCCTTTCATGATCATTAATTACAATGCTGTCTTCAAGGTCTAAAAGTTTATCTTCTGCCTAGTTGAAGTGATTTTTCGAGCTTTTCATGAAATATTTAATTTCCTGGATATCTGTTTCAATCTGTTTCATGCATTCTAATTCTTTCCTATTTTGTTCATTCAATGTTTCCATCATTTTCTATGCTTCTGTATTTTTTAGTCTGTCTTCTTAAATGTGCTGAGCAATTCCTTCTTTCTTTCTTTCTTTCTTTTTTTCTTTCTTTCTTTCTTTCTTTCTTTCTTTCTTTCTTTCTATCTATCTCTTTCAACAGAGAAGAAGACTTTACTGGAGCAGAAGTAGCAGATGAGTGTCTAAGAAATTTATCTATTGTGTATTTCTTGAGAGGATGGTACCAGGAATCAAACTCAGGACCTCATGCTTGCCAGGCAGGCGCTTGTGCTGCTGAGCTACATCCCTGGCAATTCTTTCATTATTGTTCCCATTTCTTTCTTTCTTTTTTTTTAACCTGAGAGATTATTTCTGATCTGATGTCTTCTATGGCTTGATAGAGTTGTTTCTTTAATTCAGTTGCTATGATTTCAGAAATTTCAGGTGTGTGACTTCGAAGCTCTTCTATGTCAGTGTCTTTTGGGCTTGTTCTGGGCTTGGTGGAGGTTTGAGATTGCATTTTGCTCCTTCATTTTGTCATTTTTGAAGGTCCAGAATTTCCCTGGGGCTCAGCCTCTGTCCCCCAACAGTGTGGGAGGGGCAGGGCAGAGCTTTTGAAGCTCTCCAGGGCTCAGTGTGGCTCCCATGATGGTGTGCAGGGGGCAGGGTGTAGTCACTCAGGCTCCTTAAGCTGTCTGGGACTCAGTGTGTCTCCCACACTGGTGGGTGAGGGCTAGAAGGAGATCACTGAGGCTCCCAAAGCTGTGTGGGGATCAGCTTGGCTCCTGTTATGTTGTGGAGGGGTGGGATGTGATGACCAAGGTTCCTGAAGCTGACTAAGCTCAGAGTGTCTCCCATGGCTATGTGGGAGAGGTGGGGGACTCAGTGAAGCTCCTGAAGCTGTCTGGGTCTCAGCATGTTTCCTGCAACTGTATTGAGTGGCAGGGGCCCCTCGGTCACTGAGGTACCTAAGCTGTCCATGGCTCAGTGTGGCCCCCACACTGGTAGGGAAGTGGTGGGAGGAGCTCACTGAGGTTCCCAAAACTGTCCAGTGATCAGCTTGACTCCTTCTACATTGTAGAGTGGGTGAGGCATAGTCACTGAGCCTCCCAAAGCTGTCCAGGTCTCAGCATGGCTCCCTTGCCAGTGTAGGGGAACAGGCATGGTCATCGAGGCTCTCAAAGCTGTCTAGGGCTCAGCATGGCTCCTGTGATTGGAATTTGTCTTTATGTCAAAACTTCTTCGAGTAGTATAAAAACACGAAGTTAAAAAATAAAAACAAAAACAAAAAAACACCATGAAGTTATTCATGTATTTGGTTTCCTTTTTTCATTTAGGAAACACAAGACATATTCATTTAAGAAAAAGTTAATAAGGTTAAGATATATCATTGAACTACATTCGAATTTTCATATTATTTTTGGATATGTCTAAGAGGGAACCATAGTGTCAATTATGTGAATTAATTTTACCTTTGTTTAGAGATTGAATTTTACAATAGAGACTTGAGTGGTTATTGTGTAATCTGTCTGGTAATATCCTATTTCAATATTTGTCAATGGAATGTCAAAATATCCCAAACCACTAAACACAGACACTTGTTAAACAGCACAGATATGAGATTCCCATAATTGAAAAGTGTAATCATGTGAATATTATGGTATGTAAAAATAATATCTCAAAATTTTTCAATCACTTGGTAGAAAAATACTGGATTTTTTTTAGAGAGCAGTGCACTAGTATGGCATGTGGGATTATAGACAATTACTTTAAAAAGAATATGAGGTTTGGGTACTTTAGCAGAAATAGGTTATGATAAGCAATGGATCATTGTTATTTGACATATTTTGAAGTACTTTCTCTAGAGTATGGCCTTAACTTTAATATTCACAGAAAAGTAATGGTTTATTACAATCCTTGATACCATGCTCACCTCTCCTTAAGGAAGTGTATGGGTCATCCAGTATAATTTCCATTCAGAACTGACCATACATAATTGAACTTCTTGCTGTGGCTACTCTATGGTCCTAATTAAGGCAATGGGGGACAATATAAATTCAGAGGTTTGGTAACACAGTTTCTAAACATTGGTGTTTAATCTGACCTTTTTGAAGAAAGATGAGACAAAATTAGAAAAGGGAAATGGACTTTTTTTGAGAGAACTCAGGATCTAAAGACTTCTTTCTACACTATTTAGAAAAGAGATATTTAATTTTTCCTGCTGTTTGACATTACTTTCTACACAGATCTGACACAGCATGGGAGGGAACAGGGAAAAGGAGAGTTGAGTTTGAGTATGGACAATATCCAGACTGAAGTTTTCTATCCCAGTCTGCAGTCTGTTGATCTGTTTTCTTCTATACCTTTCTGTAGCTGCTTTTTCTGATTTGTCTGAGTCCATAGAGAGGGAGTTTTCCAGGAAGTACATAGAAAAAGGCTTTCATGTTGAAGGGTAAGCTGGCAGGGATGGCAGAAGAGAGGCATCCTTGGGGCTGGGGATTTAGCTCAGTGGCACAGCGCTTGCCTAGCAAGTGCGAGGTCGAGAGTTTGATTCCTGGTACCGGCAAAAACCAAAACAAAAAAACAAATAGGTTGTTAAGAAAGGCATCATTCATTCTCATCTGGCTTCTTCCCTTCTCATGCAGCCTTTTTGCTATATGTTGAATTGTAAAAAATGCCACAAGTAAGGTATTTTTGTTTCTGATTTTGTCATTTCTGTACTACCATAAAGGAAATGTTTTTAAACCTGTGAGGCTTAGATGCTCTTTCCTTGCTGGGCTCAGAAGTTCTCAACTCTGATTTCAACTGTCCACATAGGTCAGTCATCAAAGACTATTTGGTAAACCTGGGTCACACATAGAATCACCTAGAATCATCACAAACTTTCTGAGGAGATTACTTTTTGTTTAATTCTGAAGATTTGGCTTTATCAGTAAGAGGAGATATTGCCAAAGATATATGTTTACTTTAATTCCTAACTAATGTTATAAACAAAGAACTATCATCTTTCTATGAGATGTTTCTCCATATCAGCAGACATCTTTCTACTAATTCTAGAAGCTGAGATGGAGCTCATTCTTTGGTTTTGGAGGAAAATCCATATTTGGTGGTATCCTTTGCTGTGATGACAGTAATTTCACTGTACTACATTGGTCAGTACTATTAGCAGACAGACAAATGTAGAAATCATACTTAAGGCAAAATTTCCAAGAAAAGTGTAGAATCAGAATAATAATTTTGAAGCACATGTAATAAAGAATTGAATTATAGAAAGGCCATTCATATTATGTATGGCATTTTTGTTATCCTGGGTCAGAGGAAATCAATGCTAGATAATTTTATAGGAGATTAAATAACTTTAACTATATATACATATATAACTTCTTTTTTTTTTTTTTTTTTTTTGGTTTTTCTCCGGTACCGGGAATTGAACTCACGACCTTGCGCTTGCCAGGCAGGCGCTTTTTGCCGCTGAGCTAAATCCCCAGCCCCTACATATATAACTTCTTTTTTTGCAGTGTTGGGAACCTGGAGCTCATACTCACTATTCACCACTGTACCTCTAAGTTACACCCTCTGCTATTTTTCATATTTTAAGTAATATATGTAATGTAAAATTTCCCTTTTTCCTTTAGAAGCTTTTATTACATTTCATCTGCTATAATTGGTGCAACATATTTTAAGTAGTGGCACTTCTTAACAAAAAATAATTCATTTATCCACTCATTTGTAAATTTAAGAAATATTTGTTAATTGCTGCTTAACTTCTTATACTTTTCCCTCTGAGGGAATAGTACAATGAACAAAAGTTTAATTCTGTACCACCTAACTTCACCTGCAGGTTACTGAACATGTGTTATATTTTATCCTAAAACCTGCTTATATGATTTTCCGGTGCAGGGTTGCCTAAATGGCTGAATAAGAACAAGTAAAATTAATTTCTTCTTAGAAATATCATGGTATGGAGTTTCCAAGTAAGTTGATGTGTAGGGTAAAGGTAAGCTTATTGAAAGTACCAACTATTCTTTAGAATTACATAGACTACCTGACAGTTAACAGCTGTCTGATAAAAAAGCCAGAAGTGGAAACACAGCATTGACTTTTGAAAGAACAGGTTAATAATCAGCTGAATTTAGCTTCTTGCCCACAAGGGGGTGCATGTTCATAACACACACACACACACACACACACACACACACACACACTTTCCGGTTTTACTTCTGAGTCACATTCATCTTTCACGGATTAAACTTTCTTTACATTAAGAAGTCAAGATTCAGGGACTCTGGAGACTCTGGAAATGAACTCTTTTTCAGGACCAGTGATTCTACTATTCTTAATGATTGGTAAGTAAAATGACACATTAAATTTAGTACCATTAAATTTAGTTCCATGTTGTTGATGCAATTTTTAACCATAATTTTCTCTCAGAGGCAGAAGCCATGTGTTGACCAAAGTTAGCTGCACAGACTTGATATTACTTTATTCTTTTTTAGGACGAGTCAGTGGAGACTCAGTGACCCAGACAGAAGGCCAAGTGACCCTCTTTGAAAGGGGTTCCCTAACTGTGAATTGTTCCTATGAAACCCAGCAGTATGCAAGCCTATTTTGGTATGTCCAGTACCCTGGAGAAGGTCCACAACTCCTCCTAAAAGCCATTACAGCTAATGAACAGGCAAGAAACAGAGGTTTTGAAGCTACATATGATAAAGCCGCCAGCTCCTTCCACTTGGAGAAAGCCTCAGTGGAAGCGTCAGACTCGGCTGTGTACTACTGTGCTCTGGGTGACACAGTGGCAGGAACTGCAGGGGGAGCCGAGCACAAACTTTAAGCAGCAACCAGGGTCCTTAGTGCTGAGAGTCTGCCTCTAGGATCCACTGTGGTTTAGGGACCAGGAACTAATCCATTATTTTTACCTCCCTACAACCCCCCACATGACCAATGTTGTTCTGTAAAAGTCATCCAAATAAATGCTAAAAATACGTCAGAAGAAGTAAATGTGCCTCACACAAGATGCTTTAATAGTGAAAGAGAAGATTTGTGACACTGTTCATCAACTGTGCCAGAAATTTGTGACTTTTAATGCACAAAACCTCAGGATAAGTAAAATGGTCTATGTGTTCATCCCCACATGTAATTCTATACTCTAGACCTTGTTCTAAGTCTTTCAGTGAAATGTTTTGTGTAGAGACACAACTGTGGCATATGAGAATGCAAGTGCTTAATGTCTCCTCCTAAACTGGGGAGAAGGGAGTGATCCTGATAAAGCTTCATCCCAAGAAACACTTGGTTCATAACAAAAGAAATATAAGAGTAAGGGGGAAAGAGAGGGTCCTATGTGTGCTCACATCTCTGGAAGGAGTGGGTGAAACATTTCCTGGTTTTGTTTGTGCCACATCATATTCTAGGAAACTGTAGCAAACAGACAAAATTGGCCTGGGGCTGTGGGCGGGGAGCTGAATACAAACCACCCTTGCAATGAAGTTTACAGACACTCAAGATCTCTTTGTTTTTTGTGATCAGTTTAATATAATAATGGAGTATTAAAAATTTATTTGTATTTAGTCAATTGTATTTCTAGGATTGATAAATTGTGTTTCTAGGGCTGCCATAACAAAATGTCACAGCTGATGGCTTAAATATAAATTTATTTTCTCCAGTTCTGAGAGCAGTAAGTCCAAGATCAAGGTGTTGGCTGGATTAGCTGCTCCTGAGGCCTCTCTGTTGGGCTTGCAGTTGGCGGCCTTCTCACTGAGTCCTCTCATGGTCTTTGTGGGATGATTTGCTTTCCTGTTCCCAAATTTCCTCTTATTCAGAAAATACCCATCATACCGAAGTAGAGCCCACCTGTGGGACCTCACTTTATCTTAATACTTCTTTAAAGGTCCTGTCTTCAAATGCAGTCATGAGCCACTTTGAAGATATCAATATGTAATACAACCACCATTGTTAATTCCCTACCACTTTGTTTGTAACTCTGTATTGTATGTATTGTGCTTGTGATATGTTGTAAAATGTTGTATGTCTGTTAAGGTTTCCCTCCTTTTATCTTTAAAACAAAAACAAAAACAAAAACAAAAACAAATGCAGTCATGTTCTGAGGTTCTTTGGGTTAGGGTGAGACACAGTGAAGTCCATAACAGTCCAAATATAGAAATGAGAAGTTCTTAGACAATACTGCTGTCCAGTATTGCTCATGAGTAATACTATTGCAGCTGCCTATGTCCTGCATTCTTGTTTCTGGTGCACACAATGAGCACATAAAATTTTGATGATGTGGTTTCCCCATTTGAAGTGTAACAGGCCACTATGAATAATTAATAAAATATTCCCAACAATAAGAGAATGGAGCGGCCGGGGATATAGCTCAGCGGCACAAGTGCCTGCCTGGCAAGTGCAAGGTCCTGAGTTTGATTCCCAGCACCAAAAAACATAAAACAAAAAACAAAAAAATAAAAGAATGGAGGTAGAAGGACTAGTGATATGAATTTGAAAGCTGTTATTCAGACTTAGCTTCCTTACCTTCTGCTATAACAGGGTATAGAATCTTCTCATTTTAGTTTCATTCTTTTCTGCAGCTATATTTCATTTCTTTTTGGTATTTTGTTTTTCTTTCATTCCAAATTCTCTTTTTTGTCTGACTGTTAATTGTTTTTTAAACTTCTGTCTTTTTGCTCTTGTCTCAGATCTCACATTCATGGAGCTAAAATTTTTTAATAGTAAGTATTTTTTATTTTATGCAAAAAAGTAAAATAATATTTCATAGCAAAATAATAGGACAACAGCAATAGTTAATACACTGAGTATCATTATCTTTAGGGTAGTTACTCTGTACAAGATATGGACATAAAAATTTCTCCAAACACCCATGTCTGTAGCAGCACAATTTGTAATAGCTAAATCCTGGAAACAACCCTAATGTCTGTCAACTGAGGAATGGATAAGAAAAATGTGGTATTTTTATACAATGGAGTATTACTCAGCTATAAAGAAAGATAAACTAGAAGCTTTTATAGATAAATGGATACAACTAAGACCATCCTCATAAGTGAAATAAATCAGACTCACATGTGTAAACATCATATTGCCTCCCTAGTATAAGAACCTGAGAGAGTAAATAAAATATGGAAAGTACAATAAATATTGTGAAAGGGAAAGCAACTGCTCAAATAGGAAAGAACAGCTGGGATGAGGGAAAAGAGAAAAAAAAGAAAGAAGGAAGGGAAAAATAGGTATATCTATGTACACAAGATAGCTAAGATAATTGTACTACTAATTTCTATTTGTTTATTGAAAGGAACAGTTAATGTGTAATTCAATCTTACATGCCTATATCTGGTTATCTGAGTAACTACTTTGAATATAACAATATGTAATATAACAACCATTGTTAATTTCCTATCTCCTTGTTTTGAAATTCTGTATCATTTTTGTTGTTTTGTTTATGCCTTTGTTATTTTCTTTTAAAAAATTTTCTCTTCAAAATTAAAAAAAGAAAAAATATATATGTATGTACAAGGATAGCTGAGATTTATGTATTGCTGATGTCTATTGGTTTATTGAAAGGTACAGTTAAGGCTTAATTTTTTTCTCTTGACCAATTTTGCATGCTTATATCTGATAATCAGCATAACTAATTTGAAGACAACAATGTACAATATAACAACCTTTGCTGAATTCCTGCCATCTTGTTTAATGAAGTTCTGTTTCACTTCTATTTTTTTTTTTTTTTTACTTTTTATTGTCTTTAATTGTTTGAACAATCTTGCATTCTTACATCTGGTAATCTGAGCAACTTTGTTGAAGATAATATGTAATATGACAACCATTGTTAATTCCTATCATCTTGTTTTCAAATCCTGTATTGTTTTTATTGTTTTTGTATTGTTTTGTTTTTGTCTTCATTATTGTTATTTTGTTACTGTTTTTTCTCTTTCAAATAAAAAATTCTCCAAACAGTATTAGCACAAACCTCTTTTTTCAATGAATTAAGAGCAACTGTTAATATACCTGTTTTGTGTTTTGTTTTTTTCCCTTTTCCATTCTTTCCTTTCCCCTGTCCCCTCATCCTAGTTCCTTTTTTCTTTTGAACAATTTCTTCCCATTTCACAATATCTATTGTACAAGAACTAAATTGGCTAACCTTGATTTCTCCTCCTGTGCTGTAGGGGACCTAGTTGGTCTCTCAGTGTACACAGGTGAGGAACAGCATTGAGTATGACGAAAATAAAGACAAGAGACAAGAGCTGGGTCAGGTGGAGCTGCCTCTTACCTGATGGGCAAGAGGACTGACAAAAATAGTAAGTGTGTTTATTCATACCCTTGCAAAGTAGTATCATGAGAGGAAGTGTTACCTAGTGACTAACAACTGAAATTGTCCAGGAAGGATGTTTTTCTCAGGACTGAGATAGCTTGACTGCTTGAGGTGCTCTGGCTCTGTCCTGCCCTCACACATATGACAAATTTCCAGCTCCAGCGACTCCTAACATCGTGCTCCTTTGCCACCCAAGCTGATGTTCTCTGGGGACTTCTCTCCAGTCCCTGTAGGTGAGGGAAAGGCTTCAGTCTTTGCACACAGGAGAAGCAGGAAGAACCCAATCCTACATGCTTAGTTTGCTTGGATTTCTGTTTCACTTACATTTTCATTTAGTTTTTCTCAGCTGTATGTGGCAAGAGTTTAAATTTTGACTTAATGATAATCTTTCTTTTGTATATGTTTTATTTACTGATACAATTTTAGCTTTTGTTTTCACTATTAGTATTTTAAAAATTTAATTGTTCAAGGTAATGTAGTACAGTGTAGAAATTTGATATAGGTAGACAGGGTGTAGTGTTCAGATCAGGCTATTTAACATTTCTATCTCCTTGAACAGTTTCAATATTTTGATGTTGCTTACCCTACACTTATTTTCATTTTATAATATTATAACCCAGCCTTATTGTACAATTATATCATTGTGAAATATGGTACATTATCATGAAAGTTTATAAAAATAAATAATATAGGTAAATACTGTATCATATTACTTAGGCACATATAGATTTTAGATTGTTATAGCTATATTCTTATTTCTCTATATAGCTATGTTATCCATATCTATATCTTTCTGTCCTATCTAGATTTATTTTAAGGAACTGGTCCCTGCAATTGTGGGGACTGACAAATCCAGCTTCTACAGGGAAGTGTTAGGATGGAGAGCCAGAAAAGTGTTGATTTTGTGGCCGTCTCAAGGTTAGCACCCCTCTGAGGGCAGAGTTTCTTCTTCCTAATTTTCTTTAAAGATTTTCAACTAACACCCTCACTGAAATTATGGAGATAAAATCGTTTTACTCAAAGTCTACTGATTTATATGTCAATCTTATACAACACCTTCATACCATCTAGACTAGTGTTAGAACAATACCTGAGTATTCCTGTTTCCTAGCCAAGAAGACACATAAAATCACCACCACACCCTTCTCAGTGGTTAACCCTTTGATAATCTACATTGTCTTGTATGACTGAACTATACCAGTTTTCTTTTTGATTTCACATGATATACTGTTTTCACTTCTTTTGCTATCGACTTCTTTATAGAAAGTCTCAGATTTAACACAAATTCCAGCATATCACACTTGCGCACCATCACTGATTTTTGATTTCATTGAGAAAATAGAAGCAATAAAAATGAAATAGTCACAGTCTCCAGCACTTACCATTCACTAGTGTCTCTCCTCAGTTTCTGTGCCTTCACCCTCAACAAAGTGTAATTCCACGGCAGCCTGGACTTTGCTCAGCCTTCGTGTGTATCACCATGCCTATGGTAAGTACAGAGGAGGAAAGAAACACTGCAAGAAGCCTACCCACAGGTTCTGAGCAACTACAGCTCTGTCCCCAAGGTGGCAACATGTGCATTGCCCCTGCCTGCAGATGTGACTTTGTGAAGTTAATTCTTTTCTCTGATTGGCAGCACATACTCCTGAGAATCCCTTTGTTTATGGTTGCAAGGAAGAGAAGATGATGAATAGGCAAGTCAGCTTTTGGGGCCAACCTCTGCAGAATAAGGATGGAGAATCATCTGAAGATCTCCTTGGTGGCTTTGTGGCTTTATTTTTATTGTAAGTTATGGGGAATATTAGGTTGAAACAGGAAGTCAGGGAACATTTTCCTGGGATTTGGGGCAAAGGTGTAGCTTACTGGGGGAGGAGGAGTGAATAAAATGAGGCCACTGTCTAGTTTGTCTGAGATTCATGTATGTTGTAAAGAAAGGGTGCAAATTAGAAAGTAGGAAGATTGTGCTGTTGAGTTCCATTTTGCTTTCTGAATAGGTGGGACTGGCAAAATCCCAGTGGAGGAGAGTCCTACATCCCTGGCTGTCCTGGAAGGAAAGAACTTCACTCTTCAATGTGACTACACTGTGAGCCCCTTTAACAACTTAAGGTGGTACAGACAGGACACAGGGAGAGGTCCTGTTTTGCTGACAGTCATAAACTCTCCTGAGAACAAAACTTTGAGTGGAAGGTACACAGTGACTCTGGATGAAATTGCCAAGCACAATTCCCTGCACATCACAGCCTCCCAGCTCAGCGACTCTGCCTCCTACATCTGTGTGGTGGGTGCACCATCCTCCCCAGGCACCTGCAGCCAGTACAAAAACCTACCTAGGAAATTGTCAGCAAGTCAGGAGGTTGAACAGGGGCATTACTTATTATGTTGCATATGATCACATAAGTATAAGCTGGCATGTCTCTCAGACATGATTGGGTTTGAGCTTGATTTTGGGTATTGTCATAGCCTAAAGATATCCTCACTCAGTAGGTAAAGTTAACTGCTGCATCTGGCTCTTTCCCAGGGTGAGGCTGTCATGGTATCTGTCTTAGGTACTTTTCTCATCACTGAGACAAAACACCCGACACCCAAATTTAAGGAAGGAAAGGTTCATTCAGCTCACAGTTTGTAGAAGTTTCTGTCCATAATTGGCTGGCTCCAAGGCAGGGTGGCAGGGAGAAACAGTTCATGGTGGACAGAAGGTAGCAAAACAAGCAAGGGCTACCCACAGCTCTTTCTGTCCCTTATATCTTTCTGGGCTCCTTAGGGTGGGTAGCACTCACACCCTTAATCCTAGTGCCCTTGATCCTACCATTGCACCATGAATCAATTCCAGCATCACACTCTAGATCTAGCCACCTCTGAGAAAGCCCCACCTATGTGAAGCATGAGGGGACATCTAGACACAAGCCATAACAGTATTTTACTTCTGCTTAAATAGTTGGGGTTTTTGGATGGGGCCTATCTACCAATAGAGTATCACCTAAGAGGAAGGAAAAGTGTATGGGGCCATGGCAATATGTTGACCAATGTTTTCCTTCAGAGACACTCAGTTCTCACCTCATGGCTGTGAGGTTCTCAGAAAGCCTCCTGTGGGGAAAGTCCTTCCCCAGCAGCCTAGTCGTGCTTTAGATCAAGTCACCCCTCAGAGCTGCACCAACTCTTCTACCACCTTCTGCCACTGCCCCTCTGGAAGACTTTCTGCTTAAATTTTTCTGCAGTGTGGCACCCAGTGTGACACCTACAACAGCAGAGTGACTGTCCCAGGCTCTCCAACTGTCAGTGTTTCAGAAAATGTAGTTAAAGGACAGAAGGGCCACATGTGGCTGTGAATCCTGGTTGAACAATCTAAGTGTGAAGTTCCTGCTGGGTTGTCAGAAAAGTTGAACCATAATTCAAGCATTATATAAGTATTTATGTGACTAATGAGAAAAACATATATATATAGGCATTAAAACAGTATTCTGTGGGTGGTGGGAAGATAATGTTTTTCTTTTACTATCTTCTTTTTTTGTAACTTTACTTCATAGGTTCTGCTTTTGTCAAAATGAAGACTGCTAAAAATCATGATAAATTTGAAGGAATGCATCTGATCTGTCATTAACTCACAGAAACAGAAATATAGTACATTTAAAGGTGAATACATACACTAGAATATCATTTAATAAAATTGATATTTTGCCTTATAGACTGTTTATGTATACTCATAGACAAGGCTAGTGAACTGCTAATCCATGAATAAGTAAAAGCAAGATCTAGACTTTTCATCATAACTGGTTTAGAGGTGATATGTACTTAAAAGGTGCTTTGACCTTTGGAGCTGAAAGTAAAGCTGTGTGTGCTCAGCGATCAGATAATTCTGCTTTGACTCTCCTTAAAAATTGCTTTTTTATTGAATTAGAATGCATGAACCAGATTCAAAGAGAAATCCAGGAAATCAAAGCTTCCACTGAAACCTGTTAAAACCAGTTGAATGAAGAGGAAGATAGAATTACAGATTTTGAAGACAGCATGGCCGCTAGTGATCGTGAAAGAAAGGATCTCTTAAAATCAACAAGGAACTAGGAAAAATGAGTTCAACAGCTGCAAGATGAGGCAAAAAGGAATAATGTACAACCATTAGGAGTCAATGAAACAGCAAGAGGCAATACAAATGACATAAAAAGAATATTTACAGAAATAATAGCAGAAAATTTCCTAAGATTGGAAACAGAAACTGATGTACAGGTAAATGAGGCGTATAGAACTCCAACTAACCACAACCAAAATAAAACTACACCCAGACATATAATAGTCAAGATCTCAGATCTTCAACAAAATAACAGAATTATTAAAAGCTCCCAGAGAAAAGAACCAGATTACCTATAAAGGAAAGCTCATCAGAATCATGGCAGACTTCTCAACACAAAACATCCAAATGAGAAGAGCTTGGAGTGAAGTATTAAAGGTCCTGAGACAAAAGAGTTTCCAATCAACACTGATGTATCCTGCCAAACTATCCTTCAAATTCAATGGAGAAATAAAATATTTCCGTGAAAAAGAACAA